AAAGCAGGTTTACTGTGTAGAGCAACCTACTGCTGACTCTAGTGCCATGTCGCAGAGGGATACATGCAAGGGCCTTGAAAACTGAGGTATGGGGTGTGGTGTAGAGGACTACTGACATGGGATGATTGGAGAAGGGGCACTGCTGGATAATAGAGATCTCAGGAAGAGAAACAGCTCATAAATATTACAACTGTTTTTCCATTGAAAGGTTTGTACTGTAATTTCTTTTTTTTTTTCTTTAATCATAGAGACTAATCATTCTTCAATCACACAGTTAAGATTTTGAGCATACCAACAATGAACCTGTCTTTACTTAAAAAGTGTGTTTCTTTCTGCCTGTAAGACTGGCAGGATGCTTATGTGTGACTCCTCTGCCATGGCACTGGACAACACTATGCTGGCAGTACCCACACTGCTGTAAGGGTAGTGCCAGGATAATATCTTGTGTGCTGCAGACTGAAGAGAGCTTTAGTGCAGGAAGGTGGTGTCCAGGCATGCAGGCTCTGGTGTAGAGTATGAAAATATGGTTTAGGAGACAAGAGCTGAGAAAACAAAAGCAATGTTTCAGTAGAGGGGTGGTGGTTCCAGAAATATCTGAAGGGATGAATGACGTCAGATCTAAATCTTTCAGTGCTCAGTGTTCACAGCTGGCCATGTTTCCTCTGCCTGATCTGCTTCTTACGGGTTACGTAAGGGTGTGTTGTCACAACAGTCACTGTGTCCAGCAACTGTGACTTGGGTTTCCTTCTAAAAGTGCAGCCAACTTTGGAAGTGATGTGGATGGCAGCATCAGGAACACGTCAGCTGCACTGTCAGCAGGCTAGCAAAGCACATCTGGGGAAGGTGCCATGTAAACTTAGCAAGTCTATTCTTATCTGATACCCTGCTGTGAAATGATTTTCTATTTTTGCCTCTGCTGTTCTTTCCCTTAATGAAAGGTTGGAACATGTTTGGAGTTTAATTGAACCAGGTCCAGCCCCTCCTGTATGAGGTGCCTAACAAAGCACTTTTATTCCTTCTCATAGAAACCTTGAGCTCCCCAAGCTGAAGATGATGTTTAAGGGTGCAGAATCCATCAGGAGAAGCACTGTTGATGCTGACAGGAGCATCCTTGACCTTATAGATTCTAACTGGCACAAGTCTCAGTGGTGTAATGGGAACAATCTTCTACCTTAACAAAGACTGCTTGCTAAATTCAGCTCCTGCTGGTTTCTCTAAGGACACTTTATATGAGCAGGCGCTGTTCTTTGAGGAACAGAGCACTTTGGTTCTGCTCTGAACAACAGAAACAAGATTTCTGTGTTTCATTTAATTAATGTTGTCTTCACTGCTCTGCCATAGGGAAGTTCATGATGTTCACCATCATTCAGCTTTTTCAATAGCACTGTTAATTGTACACTGAAATCCTATGAATAAAACTAGGGGAATTTAGAGAGGAAAAAAACAGGTCATGCATGTCCAATTTTTACCCACTGCAGAAAGGGTCCCCAGATGAGTCTGATAGTGTCACCTGGAGAGTCCAGCACCCAGAGTTACAGATTTCTTTCCAAAGGCAAGCCAAAGGTATTCCAACCATAACAGAATCTTAATCATAGGATCAAACAAAGGTTGAAAGGGATCTTTAAAGGCCATCCAGTCCAATCCCACTGCCATTTCAGCTAGATCAGGTTATTCAGGACTCTCATCCTGAATGTTTCCAGCGATGGGGTGTCTACCATCAATCTGGGCAACTTGCTCTAGTGTTTCCTCACCTGCATTGTAAAAGTGCTACTTGTATCTAATCTAAATTGACCGTCTTCAGTTTAAAACTATTACTCTTGTACTAATGCAACAGATGCTGCTAAAAAGTTTGTCTCCAAGCTGAAATAAACTTCCAGGCACTGTCCCTTTGGAACTGATTTTCTAAAGAGACAATTGACAACCCAAATATCCAAGTGATACTTGATCCATCCAAGTTTAATTTTGCCAGATTGTTTTGCAGCTCCAGTCTACTAGGCTGAAGGGTTGGTTTCTCCCATTTGTAGGATTTACTAATTGTTTCAGCCAGGCTGAGTGAAGAAACAGGGCAACTGGAATTGAGGAAGGACAGTGTTACCCATTTGTAAAGAGAGTATGAAAAAGTCCCTTCCCCCACTTTAAAATTATGGGGAGCTAGAGCTACACTTGCACTGGGGGACAGCAACAGAGGCTTGTTTGCTTATCTATAGAACATAACATTCTGCTCATTGAGGAAGGAAAGGCAATTGGAGATCTGAGTTACTGATCCTTTCAATACAAAGAATATGGGATTTTGTGGAATTTAGTTAGTATAAGCCATTTATAAGTGGTTTGGTTTCCTTATTTATAAGGGTTTAGATATCCCTCTCCCTCAGCAGAACTTTACAGACAGGAATGGAAATAGATTTAATATATTTTGTGTACTTCTCAGGATGTAGTAGGTCATGATGAATCTCACATTCACACAGTTATCAATTAAGTTGACAAGAGGAACAAAGCAATCAATGCCAGCTGTGCATGCAGCCTGCTGTGAGCTGTAATTTATTCTTACAGCTTCAAACTGCACAGGGAAGCAAGGAGAGTTTGTATGTTCTTTTGCAGCAGCAAGGTAATAGTACAGAATCTCAAAGGCTAGCTACCACTGAAAATATTATGTTTACTGGTGAAACATTTGTTCACTGGTTTATACATTTCTGTAAATGAAGGAAGAAGAAAGCTTCATTAAATATTTCCTTGCAATGTGGAAACTCCTTGTTTGCCTTATACTCTGATGATCCTAGAGCAGGAACCACTGGCACATCCAAAACTGGCTGCTGCTCATAAGGAAGAGGCACTAATGGCTTTTTTCCACCATCTACATATCCTAACCCTCCCTTGGGGGCACATTCAGTACTGCCCATTGCAGCGAATGTAAAGTTATGATGGAGCAGGAAGGGCACACAATTTGGAGAAAAGCAAAAAAAAACCACCTTCCTTGGGCAACCTGTGCCAGTGCCTCACCACCCTCACAGTAAAGAATTTTGTCTGCTCTAAACCCACCCTCTTCCAGTTTGAAGCCATTTCCCCTTGTCCTGTCACTACACGCCCCTGTAAACAGTCCCTCTTCAGCCTTCTTTAGCTACTGGAAGGCTGAAAATAAGGTCTTTCCAGAGCCTGCCCTTTCCTAGGCTAAACAGCCCTAGCCATCTCAGTTCTTATGCTCATGAAAGAGATACTCCAGCCCTTTGATCACTCTAAACCCACCCTCTTCCAGTCTGAAGCTATTCCCCCTTGTCCTGTCACTACACGCCCCTGTAAACAGTCCCTCTTCAGCCTTCTTTAGCTACTGGAAGGCTGTAAATAAGGTCTTTCCAGACCTGCCCTTTCATAGGCTGAACAGCCCTAGCCATCTCAGTTCTTATGCTCATGAAAGAGATACTCCAGCCCTTTGATCATCTTCATAGCCTCCTCTGGACTTGCTCCAACAGGCCCACAGGGCTGTTATACTGGGTCCTCAGGGCTGGGAGCAGCATTCCAGGTGGAACCTTGCCAGAGCAAAGGGCGAGAATCACCTGGTCTCTGCCACAGCATCAGCTACTCCTGTCTCTTATGTGCTGACAAGGTCAATTTTGCATTCCATTACCCAACACAAGAGGTGCAGCATGGACTGTGGAAGTGTAATTTCCTCCTCACGTGCCTAAGGCTCGATCTGTGAAAAGCAATTGAACAGTAAATTATGAGAACAGCATCCACAAGCATACAATCCTTCATCTTTCATGGAGGTGTATTGGAGGTGATGCCAGTGAAAGCTGCTCTTCTTGGTGGCATATATCCCCCAAAACAACTTCCCACAAGTTATTTCTGGTTCCCTTGTCTGAATTCAAGGCATCTGAGATGAGAACAACAACTCTCTCCTGCTAGGAGGACTTTTTAGGGCCACATCTGTTCTATTCCCCATAAAATTCTGCTTCTGTACTTTTTAGGGCCACATCTGTTCTATTCCCCATAAAAAAAAAGATTTTATTCCCACAACATAGTACAATTTATGGTAGTGAGAAAAACTGTAGTATATATTACATAAGAGATGAAATTGGTTAATGTCAGTTTCCACAAGATGAAATGTGATTCAGTAAAATTCTAGCAATTTTATTAGTTTTAAAGCATGCATATGAGAACTACACCTAAAGGGCAAATGAAGCAAGAATTTTTATTTTTTTTCTTTTAATAGAAACTAAACAGTTTTGTACAACTGGCCTTCTCATGCATTTCAGTTCCTCTTTGAATGTAAAATCAACTCCTGATGGGAAATATTCTTCAGGTCATACTTGAAGACAATTATCTCAAGCTCCATGCTAATAGTAACAGTATCCTCCCACTCCTTCAGATGGAAAAAATATGAAAGAGATTGCCTGGGAAAAAACAGGAACAAAAGCTGCCATGGGTTCAGAACTAGAGAAAGTGCCAAAAAGAGCAGGGAGGTCAGCTTTTGGTTACCCACCAAAATCTTTATTTTCCAAAGTGCAAGTAAAAAGACGGAGATGCATAGGGTCTTTCGGAGGGATGGATGTGCACTCCACTGAGAGCATGCTTTTGGATTTCAGCTGTTTTCCTTGATTATCAAGAATGGCCAGTACTGCTTTGGCAATCAATAGGAAAGTCACTTATTTTAATTTTTACAGGAAAAAGAAAGTTAATCAGTGTAAAGAGCATTCATCAGTCCTGCAGAATAGATTCTGAAATGCAGAGATGCCTTTGGTGTCTCCTATTATAAAAGTAATTATCAGAACAAGAAAAATGTACAGGCTGAGTATTACATTTTTTCCATCAGAATGTTTGCTGTTGATCACTGCTGTGGACAAAATTTGCAGGTAGCTTGGCAAATAACTGTTTTCATAACTGTACATGCAAAACACTAAAGTTGTGACCTGGTTTAGGACAAATTAGGGGAAAAATATCTCTAAAGGAGCCTCTTATAGGAAACAAAACCTTCTGCACCTTCCCCCCCCTCCCCACCACTGGGTAGCTCTCTCAGAAAATTCTAATCAGAAACTGATTGTTCCTGCTTCCCCCTCTTCCCACAGCCAAATTTGCTTCCATCATGGCTGTACATAAAGTTCTGTCAGTAGCAGAGATGCAGCAATCCCTGTTTCAGGAGTTCTCTGGCACACAGAGCTCTGCACACCTACCATGTGGTTTGGGAGGCTGGAGACTGAGGCAGGGCAGGCAGCTGGGGACACTGGGACACTGAGCAGCCTGACAGCTCTGTGTGCCACACTCTGCTGTGGGAGTTTTCAAAGCCTTCATCTTATGCTACTTCCTTCAGTGTGTCTGCTGCTGCCTGCACAGTGAAGGCTGCAATGGAAATCTGCCTCTTCACTTCTTCCCAGGCTTCAAGTTGATCAGCTTTGCTTTCAATATCAAACATGGCATCATAGATTCCTGGGAAGGATTCTCCTGCATATTTGTTGTGGCTGCTTGGAGCAAAGATAACATGTCTGTGGGAAAAGAAGAAAAAGGCAATTATCCTAAAAAAAAGAAACTATTAATGGGGTGTGTGTTCATTGTATGTGTACTATATAAAGCAGCTATGAATCCCAGGAAGATCAGAACTCACTAAATACACAGGAAATTTGGCTTCAAAAGGACAGGAACAATCCCAAGATCAAAATCTGTTGGAAAGGCCACAGATTTAGGTCAGATGGCCTTCTCCTTGGGAAGAGATGACACATTTGTCTAATTAAGAAGAAAACCATGTTACACTTTTTGAAAATGGGAGCTCAACAAACCTGTCTAAGTAATTTGCCAGTCGAGAACAGGGAATAAAACTACTTATAGGCATGTTGTGAGAAATTGAGTAGAAACCTCAAAAACAGCTAAGTCGCTGCATGATGGTCAGCAGATTACTTACCTGGGAAAGGAATTTAAAAGGAGGCGAAAAAAAAAAAATCTGTGTGTGAATCCCTGAGAAAAGCATGAATTATTGAGAAGTGATCATATTGGATCAGAACTGCACCAAATATCCATCTTATTTTTTGTATTTTTTTTCCTAAATAATGAATAGCTACATATCTGCAATTAAATTTATTTTAACTATGAAGTATCAAAGCACATTTACACCCAAATGAAAAGAAACATTAAAATTACATTAATAAATGCAAGCAAGTAAGAACTAATAATAAAGAAACAAAAACAGACAGCTCCAAATGATACCCAACACCCAACAAGAAAATTTCTACAAAGAAATTACTTCATTCTTCTCAATATGTGAATGTCAGTTTATCCTAGGAGGATGGAAGTGTGATTCTCAGTTCCACCTGCCTGAAAGACTTGTGGCATGGCACGAAAGCCATCCATCAGTGTGTCAGACATATCCAGTTGATAGGAAAAGGGGGATACTGAAAAAAAGTGAGGTACTTATACCCCTGACACTGAATGCTGGCATCTTGTCAGGTATTCCTAATAAAAGCAGTGGGATTCTACAAAGGATATAGTAGGTAGTGGTTTAAGCTTTTTGGAGCACCTATAGAAGCGGCCAAAACTGGGATAGAGGGGGCTCTGTAGCACAGCTCACAGGCCTTTATCCTGTGCTGAAATGTCCCTCCCTCTCCAAACTCTCTCCAAGCTCTCCTCACTTGGCTTTTCTCTTCAACTGACCCTCATTACACATCTGTTCTCATTTACTCTGCCCTCTTTTCACTTTTTTTTGAATACAGTTTATTCATTCTTCACTCAATCTTCACTTTACAGACAATTACAAGAGCAAGTTGTAACAGCAGTATTGCTGCACATCTACAAAAAAAAGTCAGAGTATTATGCTGTTGTGGTTTAACCATAGCTGATAAAAAGAGCCAAAAGAGAGGAATTTGGGTCCACAAGACTGGTGTAGCCAAGGAGTTCTCCTTAAGTGTTATAAACAAAATCCACTACCCACTGAATTGTACTTAATGTGTTGAACTCAATTCCTATGAGACCCATACAGCAATTCAACTGACTGGTCAGCTACAAAAATAGGGTGCCTTAGACAGCAGCCTTAGACAGCAGGTCAAGAAACTTTTAGCCTCACCTGTAAAACTTCCTTCCTGGCAAACCCAGAGGATCAGTGAAAGCTCTTTCTACCATCATCAGCTGATCATTCATGATGCGCACTGCTACTGAACTGCAGGAGAGGGAGACAGAAATGTCACACAGCAGGGAAACGTAACCCCCCCAGTTTCATTTAAAACACTTCTCTTTTTTTGACAGAAAAATTAAAAAAGACAAGTGTGGTTTACAGTTTACAAAAAAAAAGGTGGGGTTTTGCAAATGGAGATTCTGAATCCATGTTATAATAATAATTTGATATTTCTGTGTTAAAAAACAACATTTCACAATATACAAAAAAAAAAAAAGAGAAACTTTCTGAGAGTGTCAGATACTTGTTTAGTATTAAATGGCACTGGAAAGATGTTACTTAAGAGACCGGAGAACAAGAATGAGATTTACACAGATGAAGATAGCTAAATTTTGGTGTCCAGCCATAAGCCAAATGTCCATAGTCCTGTTCCAATCTATGCAGTAACATAGTAAGGATGGGATTCAGCTGCCTAAACACAACTGGTACCATATGTAGCCTGCAGTCACTGCACTCAGAGGGCACAGGAGTCCTGCAGCAGCCTTAGGCTGTCAAGCATCATATGGATATCTCGATTATTCTGAAGCATCATCCTCTGTCTTTGAAATGTGCTGAAAGTAAAAATTCTGGCATCACCTACAACACTTAGGTGTAGGTGTCTAAATAGAGATCTCAGTCCAACTCTAACTTTCATTGCTACCTGCCTTTCCTGTATTACAGTAACTTTAATGATAACCTGATACTAGTAATAAGCTCATACTATCAACCACAGGAAACATTCCTGTATCTGCTAATGCATCGTTAAAGATACTGCCTGTCTCAGGGTTCAGAGCTCTGTTCTACACTCATCAGAGAGAATCCTTGTGCAGTAGAAGAAATAAAGAACTGCCACTCTGGGTACCTAAGGCCAACCAGGACATAAATATATACATATGTACATACATATATACATATACATATATATATATAAAAAACTCTTTTTTTCTGACTTACTCTTTCTTGTCTACTTGTTCAAGTCTCCTGTGAAATTCAGCAGCAGCCTTTGAGAAGTTCACCACAGCAGAAAAAAGAGGATCTAGGAATGGAAGAACATGAAAACTTTGAAGTATTCAGTAAACCTAATACACCTTTTAGTTGCCCAGTGGGAGAACTACATTTGTCCTGCTGATATAATAGCATTAATTTTGTTATTTTTACATAATTGATTGGTTTCCCTAGTGCAGACTTTAAAGAGCTGCACTACTAGTAAATTTTGCAAGGAGACCAACAGTAAAGCAGAGTGCTTGGGAAAGCTTTCACAACCATTCATCTTCCCTCTGCCTTGCAAGCAAAAAACTGGCTGTCATTGCACATTGAGAGCTCTGCAGTTTCCTGTTTAACAAATGCACTGCAGTGTTCAGGTATAAAAAGCCTGACTTCCATCAGAAATACCAGCTGTTCCAGAAGGCTGTGGAAGAACAGCAGGATGTTGCTTGAGGAGAAAGATGTCCCATTCACAGCACAACAGGAGAGTGTGATATGTGTTCTGAGCAGTGTGACGTGAGGCACAAAAGGTATAGCTGTTGTGGCACACAGGACAGATGCAGCAAGTTAAAACAGCCAAGTCCTGGCTGGAATTGCAGCACAGGAGGTGCCTATGCCGTGTTCCCCCATGCTGTCCACTCAGATGCCAGGGGATTGCCTGACTGTGTGCAGGCAGGTGGGCAGGAATGGCTGCTGCTTTTCCCAGCCCAGTACCTCCGAGACATGTGGAACAACTTAGTTAGAGAAGCAGCAGGCTTTCCTTTTAATGGCAGTAGCAGCTGTGATGTGGGAGGCTCTATTTCATACAGACCTGGGGAAAGTATTGATTTATGCAAGTAATTTTTGTAGAATAAATCACAGGTGGATGTTACGACGCCAACTTCTGGCCCCACCAAATATCAACTGAATTAGAAAGCAAGACAGTTTAAAACTTGTAAATTTTGTCCACAAGTTTCAGAAACCAGAGTATCCTCTCTTCAATTGTGCAGGAAGATGGGACATAGGATTAGATCATCCCCTAAATCCAGTCCTCTGTTGACAGCTATTATCCCTTCACTGTTTATAGATTTATCATCCAATTTCACGTGACAGGTTTTCTGTTCCCAGGACTCGTAGTGAAAGCTGTTCCCCAGACTTATTTGCTCTCCTATTTCTAGCAAACTTATTTATTCATCACAAGCCTACACTTGCTTCATTTTTGTCCTGTTGCTGTTGCTTAGTTGGTACAATTGGAAGCACAGATTTTATGTATGCAAGCTGTTTACGGACTGCAGCTCAGAGGGACACATCACCTTGTGAGGGTGAGAATTCACACTTGTCCACAACCCTGTGGCAAGAGCTTTAAGTTTGCCAGGGGCAGAGTCCTGCCCTGCTGACATCGTGACCATATCACAGCAACAGATTATATTTCAGAAGCAGTAGGAGGGGATTTAAGAGAGAAAAAAAAAAAGGCCATCTGAAAAATAATGTAAGAAACTTTCTGTTCCTGTTCACTAGCTTTTTAGTGTTGCCAATGTTGGTTATTTTAGAAAACATCACATTTCTTTTTTCTCCACTTGAAAACATTATTTCCTGATGGCATATGACTACAAGCACAAATTTTATGGAAAAAAGGTTCCAGCCTTCATTGTTGCAGATGAACAGCTAAAATGTGAATCCAAATGCAAATAAGAACCTTAATCTATTATTTTAAATTTTAAATTATATGATATAGTCAGGCTTAATCAACAATTTTCTAACATTCAGTGTTGACAATAAGCAATTCTATGAAAATGCCGAGTTAAATAAACTTTAATTTTTGCAGTATTGTAAAACCTACCTATGTTATTTAATGTATTCTGGCGCAATACAATAAATTAAAAATTAGAATTTTAGCTTCATTCAAGAAATAATTTAAAATTCATTGGGCATCAGAGAAGAATCATGAATATAATAAGACCGAAAAACATGTCTTGTAAAAAAATAGTCAAAGTGACGCATTTATAAAGTTATTAAGGAGAGGTCTCAGTGTTATTTGGGTGAAAAAAAAAGCTAAAAATAGAAGATTGCTTCTAGATTCTAGGAATGAGAATAGATGCATTGGTCGGGAGGTAGTTTGTGCAACTTTTAATCTAAAAATAGATAGAAACTCAAACAATGAAAATAAATTATTTCACAGATATTTTGATAGATGTTCTACTACTGCAGAAAAAAATTTCATCTTACAAGATGTGCTGCACTGAACACTAGAACATATTGAAGTAACTCTTGGTGTTTTACAGAATCTCAGACCAGATGATCCATCACATAAGACCTCTGTCTTAAGAGGTCTTTTTACAGAAAAGGGTGTCTTTTCAAAATAATCAACAATTTTTCACCAAAACCATTACATGACATTTCAAACATAATATTTAATTTCCCCCAAATGTGGTTTCAATTTGAGTTACTTACAATTTTTCACATACCCTAAACAAGGACTGCATCTCCAAAAGGTGATTTGTATCTTTAAATAATGGGTTCATCAGATAACAAGTGAATTAGGACTGACTGAAAAATCTCCTTGGTGCAGAAACACAAGGAGGGATCAAGGCAAGAAGGAAAAAGGCAGGAAAAAAGAGGATACTGAAAATTGCTGTGGAAGCTATCCCAGCCTGGGGTCCTGAGCACTCTTTGCTTTAGACCTGTTTTATGGGCTCCAGAACAATGTGCTCATGTGCTCAGAAAACAGATGCATTCATGCAGGAGAGCTGGAAAAATGCTCCTGTAGCTTAAAAATGGCAACCAAGCACTGAGGGAGATGGTGGAGCTCCCCAGGGTCAGATGAACTTTGGCACGAAGAGGAATGGACTCCTATGTCCCTCAATTTCAAAGCAGTTGCCATAAGCACTTGACTTCTTTTTTAAGCAAGGAATGAGGATCAGGCTGAGATACCTCATTGTCCTACATTTGAGGTCTTTGACTGCCTGTGAGCACTGTAATAATGCTTGTAATTAATATATGCATGAAAATTCTTATACCCCTTAGTAATTGGCCAGCACTGAACCCACCACACCCTCTTATCAAGACAATGATGTGTTAAACCTGTGTTGTGTTTAAAAAAAAAAAAAATAGAGGCTCTTTGCTATGATGGCAAAATTCAAACAGGAAAGAAAGGAATTAATTTGCAGAGCTATGACAGATGTAACATGTCCCTGCACGATTCTAATTAATGCACATAATGCACAGTCCTGTGGCTGTTACTCACCAAATGATACTTTGTAAAGTTTCAGCTGTTCTTCATGCTTCTTGGCTAATTTATAAATTCTGTTGCTGTATCCTTTTAAGGCTTCTCCGTAGTCTCTAGAGTCGAATGGAATGACCTGGGAATCTGCCAGTTCATAAACCAGTTTGCCTCGTAACTGGGCAATCGTTAGCTGTTTCTTGAAGGTAGGGTCATAAAATTTTTCCACTAGCTCAAATGTCTCGTACACAGTGTGATAAACAGGATAATTGCTGAATTTGTCCACTTTCTGGAAAAGAGCAAGAAAATTTGTCAATGCCCTGTATTCTGACTGCAGTTAAAAGATGTATTGATCTCTTTATGACTCTGATGTTTTGTTTGGTTTTCAAATCAAAAAAGCTATTTGCTACAAAACACAATTTAATATCCTTCATTTGTGTGTGTTTGTATTAAAAAATTGAACCAGTCCTAATGTGTGGACTGTTGCACAGGATTAAGTGAGCAGGATTCTTTCTCTCTACCAACACAGACCTGCCCCCGTTCCATTGCACAGAGGTGGCCTTCTCCAAGAGTGAAAACAGTTTGGAGTTTGCATAGCAGAAGTCCTCAATCACAGCCCCTTTTACCTTGTGTAGCTGTTTCTGAACAGAGCTATGGAGGATTTGTATATTAAGGGGACTATTAATAGCATGGTGGAACAAACTATCCACCTTCAATCAGACTCTATAAATACCTCTCTGTGAACCTGACATCCTACAGAATATACACATCACTGTAACATGTTTTATTCTCCAAACATTTAGGTTTCTTGCTAAATTAAGAAACATCACTGTATACAAACCAGTCAAAGATGCTTTGAAACTTTTTTATTAATTATGAATAAATGCTTTTAACAGGATGACTGCTCAGCACTATCAAACTTCTTCAAGCGCTTCGTCAAGCTTACCCTGTTCTTGGTGTAACGAGCTCTGCCTGATGCAATTCCCAGTCGCTGGAAGTAGGCTTCAAAATCACTGCCTGACCCCAGTTTATTTATTCTGCATGCAGAAAAGACAACATCTTAGTGAGAGCACTTACTGAACAGTATGGTAGTAATTTATGCAAAATGCAGATTTTTCAGAGAAATTGAGGTCAGTTCTTCTGAAGGGCACATCAGGGACACTAGCAAGATCAAAGACTACATGAATGACAAGCTTAATTACTTAACTGATTTTATTCCAACACTCTGATTCAATATCCAATATTGCTAGGAAGATCTTTTAATTGTAGCAATCCTAATTATGGCAATGATGACATTAAAAATACAAACACTTTACGCATAAAATTATATCAGCCACGTCTCTGCCGTCTTAAAACATCAATCATCTATTTCCAAACTAATACGAATTGGGCAGCAGTATGTGTAAAGACAGATGTGTTTGTGTAGTTGGCACATTCCGCAGCAGAATCCAAGACCGATAAATAATTCCCAGTGCGAAAGGCACGGGCAGCATTCGGCACCTGCGGGCCGCCGCTGCCATCTGATGGGGAGCTGCGGCGTGGCAGGGGCGAGGAGACTGCAGAAGACAGACACAGCATCCTAAGTATTTTCTAATATTTACGTTTGAAGTTGAGTTTCAGGTTTATATGTCTGGCCTGATGAATAATTAGTGTTTCTCAGCTAAAAAAAAAAAATTATTCTATTTTCAGGCGAAGTTAGTGTATATTTCTGCAAGGAATGATGTGCATCAACTAAGAAAGATCAAATCTGGCTGCTTTTTCAAAAGGAAGAAATCTCAGTGGGTCTAATGAATCCAGAAATTTATCTTAGCAGAGCCAGAAACATGCAGATTTTTGTCAAATCACAAAAGGGGGAAGTTCTGTTTACCTTATGTCAGTAACACCACCCTGTGAATAAGATTTAGCCTGAGTCACAGGTGCAAAGAGTGTTTTGGAGTTGTAATACCTTCAAATATGAAGTGTTAATAAACTCATATATAGATATGTAATGTAATACATTTACATTCATTGTATAAACAAGAAATAATTACCTCAACTTTTTAATTACTGCTTTTTCATCACTGCTCTAGGCAGATTCTTTCAACTGTTTGCTTATCCTAACAATTTTGATTTTATTTTATCTAGTAGGTGACTAAACTATGTTTTGAACTCTTTCCCCACCCTGCTTTTTTTTATGCTGTTTAAATTGCTTTTCTACTAAGAAAAAGGTCTTTAGAAAGTGTGAGGTTTCATACACCACAGGAATAATATCACCATCATTAAATAAAAATAATAAAATTTTATTTTACTTTACTATTAAAAATATTGCTAGAGAGTCACCTTGTGCTAAAAGGTTTTGTATTTCTGCCATAAATAGCACACCTCAGAAAATTCTAGTAAGTAGCCATGCCATGATATGATTAAAATATTGGGGTAAAAAACCCCAAAACACATTAACAACTTACCTGGGATAGTTATTATTTTCAGATGCGGGATCTTTCTCAAGCCAGCTCTCATAAAGAGTTTTATTTTCATAACCCTCATCAGGGCTTAAAATCTGGAGAGGGAAATATTATAATCTCATTGGAAGTACCTCTTTGCAGCTCCCTGCTTTATTCTTAACCAGCAGTGCTGCTGCATGCAGGGATGTAAATACTGGCATTTGTTGCACACATTTATGCATTCCAAAACAAGGACAGCATCTCACAGACACTTGGAACCAACCACAGACAGTAGGAAAGAGCAGGTTAAAAGGATGCTACCTGGAGCTCATCTACTACAGGGGGAATGTGCATGTACACACACAACAGCATATATAACACTGTGGGACTCCTCCAGAAACTAGAACCCGCTTTCCTTTCAGCAGGCATGGGGAGATGACAATCACAAACCTGTTTGCCCTGAGGTTTGCCCTGCACAGTGACAATATTCTCCCAACAAGGGTAAACCTAAAATTTAACTGCTTGTTCTGTAAGAAAGGTACAAAAGAATTGTACTAGAAGGAAGGGTCCAAACCAGTCATATTATAGCAGTTCCAAGGGGACTCAACCAAGCCTGGAGAATCATTGTGCAAGACACTGTAGGTACAAATACCTACAAATGTAGGTCTCACCCTTACCTCAAAAAACCCCCCAAAAGCTCTGTAACCAGGATGGAAAAGGTAAGTATTAGTGCTGTCATCATGCTGCCAGCAAAACTATGAAAGACTATAAAATAAGTTGACAAAAGCTTTTAGGAAATCTGTGGCAGAGGCAGAAATAAGTCAAGACTCCAACACTGGTCTCCACCTACACTTAAACAACCTTTAACAGACACGGTCCTTTAAGTATAAGATTGGTTACGATGTGCAAGAGGATTGGATTTTTTTTTTCCCAAAATACAAAGCATAAATGTTCATGAACACTTACATGGTCCCACCAACTTTAAGTATAAGATTGGTTATGATGTGCAAGAAGATTGGATTTTTTTTTCCCAAAATACAAAGCATAAATGTTCATGAACACTTACATGGTCCCACCATGTTGTTGAGACTTAAATTCAGCCTTGAAAAACATACAGACTCCAAATTGAAATTGCAAAGAGTTCTGACCTCTGAGATTCTGTCAGCAGCTAGCAGGAAAATAACAACTTTTGGAAATAACTGCTTGGCTGCTGTCATTTTCATGGTACTCTGGTCAAGTCCTAAGGCTAAAGTAAAAACTGCACATTAATAAGAGCAAGCTGAACTCTAGCATATGGGAGCAAAAGCACTCTATGCTCTGGCAAAGATATTATTCTAACAGCTCTGGTCATGTAAAAAACATTGGTCAGCTTTTTCATACAACACTGAGAGCATAGTAAAACATATTTGCACCAAATCTAGCATCAGCATAAGCTTCCTGCTAACTCAAGAGAAGATGAAGAGTTCTCTAAGTATAAATGCAAAAGAAGCAGTGATAATCACAGGGGAATTGAACTATTACAGACACCATTTGATGGTGACCAAATGTCTAAACCCTGGCAGTAAAGCAGGGCCAAACAACAGTCAACAGCTCAATGTCTCATCTGTAGCTGACACACACTTAAATGCAGAACTCCCTGAAAGAAAACACTTTTTGTGTACACTACACTTCTTTCTGGTGAGAACTGGCCCACTAAAAAACAAGAAGAGCAAAGAGATCTCTGTTGGACATGTTGGACACCTTACTATGAAGAGAAATAACTTTCCTTTGGACAGGCATAATCAGGCTGCCAGGTTTTCTATTGCTTACATCATGCATCTACTGTAAAAAGCTAAAATAACAGTGAATATGACATTTATTTTTACAAGTCAGTCTCAAGTACTTTGCATGGTACTTTAATGGAAGTTTTCTACTCAAACCAGCAATAGCTGAGTAGTTGACTTAAGATCAGATCTAGGTACTATTTTTACCCCAGAGCACTTTTTTGTAACTTTGTTTATCTTTTACGATGAAATGTCTTCCTGAGTTAGTGGCTTACTGCAGAAAGTAAATTATTTTACCAAGGGCCCTGCAGCACTAAGGACATGAAAATTTTTATAGACAAAAGAAAATGCTCTTCAGTGTGCAAAGTGTCAGAGCTAATATTTGAACAGCATAGATTCTTCCCTCTGCAAGGATGAAAGAATAAGATAGAATTGATAGGAAAATAAAATGTAGAAAAGAAATAGTGTCAGAGCTAATATTTGAACAGCATAGATTCTTCCCTCTGCAAGGATGAAAGAATAAGATAGAATTGATAGGAAAATAAAATGTAGAAAAGAAATTAAAATAATGGGAATAGCACAGATAAACTTCCCCAGATCTAAACCATGGCATTTCAGCTGGCAAAAGTGTACTGTGTTTGAAAATAACTTGAGATGAATGTATCTAGCAGGATGGGAGATTGGTACCTGGAATCATCCTCCCAAGTGCTATGATTTTTACACTGGACCAAGTGACCGCAGTTCCCTTAAGATTATGGGAGGAAATAGTCTGAGTTCAGTACATACAAAGGTAGACAACCACATTTGGTCAAACAAATCTCATCCTAAAGGCACCAATTTCTATCCAATGCCTTTACAGGGAGCCTGTGTTGCTGAAGTCAGACAGAGCTGTCTTCTACTACTTGAGATGAATCCTCATCTGATGACAGAAGCCTAATCTGGTTAACTCATATGGAAAATAAAGTTCCATGCTTTAATGGATCACAACCTTTCAACCTTATGATAATGTATCCTGAGAGGTGAAAGTAAAGGACTCATGGTTAGACCACTTGAAATAATGCAAATCCACACATCAGACCTGTCAGAAAATCTTCTTAATCCTTCAATATTTATCACATATTTCAGGGGCTCAGTGAGATATGGAGGAGATTCAGGAGAACAGACAGAGAGAAAATGGTAGCCAACCAATGTCAAAAATATTTCCCTTCAGGGTTTGTAACTTTAGAGAATTAATCTTGCTCAAGCATTTTGCTTTTATTATCATTATTTTTACTCTATATTGCAAATAATATACCACTTATGTCACTGACACATTTCAATCCTTTTCAGAATACTAAGGAACTGTGAGCATGGATTGTGCTGATGGGATGTTTTGCTATTGATTTTGGTGGAATCAAGATTCTTCTAGCACAGCAATTTAAAAAATCTGGTATTATTCAATAGTCCAATTTTATCAAATAAACTTGGAGTCTTACTTCTTCTTAGAAAGGCAGGAAAATAGATGGATTCTGTACCTCTTTTGTCAGATTATACACCAGTTTGTAGAGAAGAGGGGTACAATCAACTCTTAATGTGTAGTTACCTGAAAATAAAACAAAAACATGGAAATTTTCCCTTCATGTACTAGTGGCATTATCTTCCTAATGGATTAGACCCTGCAGTCCTTTCTTAGATAAACTTTTTGACTAAGGCAAGAATTTAGATCTTGCCCCAGAATATATACAGCAATAGACTGCGTAGTCTCACTTTGTAAGCTACTGCCACTACAAAGCAATAAAGTATTGATTATAGTAAATCCACAGTAATGTAATTAAGCCTTCCCATAGCTCTAAAGTATGCCTAATTATCCCTCATTAGCTACAAGCCCTTGTCACTCATATGCTTCCCAAAGCTTTTGTTGAACAGAAGGCAGAAAAGTAAGATGATGGAAAAAATACCAGATAATGTTAATGATATTTCTAAGGAGAGTCTTTATGTGAAAACTGGAAATTCAAGCCACAAAAGTGCTCAAAACAATGACTTGCATTGCTTATTTTCATTGCTATAGGACAATAAATAGAAATAATTTGCTGTCCAAAAAGTGGTATAAGAAGTGTTGTGGAGAACATATGATAATAAACAAAATAATTTTCAGAGCACATGAATGCTGTGAGTCTACGGGGGATTTTACTGCTCAGGTGAGAGATGTCCATGATACCTAAGCCAGTGCACTGAACATGGTGTTCTTTTCCTTATTACACACTTTTTTCCAGTTGTTTTGCTTTCACCTTTTCTTTAATGCATAAAGCAAGAGACATGTTTGAATAATCAAGATTTAGAAGAAAATTGTTAAGGCAGCAGCATGTTGGCTGCAAACCAACTAAAAAATATGCGTTACAATTCATGGTGAGAATATGAAGCAGTTGTAAAGCTATTATTTCATTTGTGAGATTTTCTAGGTGTGAAATTCTGCTCTACTTTTTACCCAGCATGTAGGCAGTATAAATGAACAGCTCTAACCCTCCTTATTCCCCAGCTCCAACTGAGCATTTAGAAACTAGGTTTGGCTTTTCTTTCTTTCCAATACTTTTGTGACAGACAAAATTTTTAGCTGACAGGAATAAAGAGAGTTCCTAAATATGCCTGTAGATATCAATTTTCTTCACACAATTTTTATAGACAAAAGAAAATGCTCTTCAGTGTGCAAAGTGTCAGAGCTAATATTTGAACAGCATAGATTCTTCCCTCTGCAAGGATGAAAGAATAAGATAGAATTGATAGGAAAATAAAATGTAGAAAAGAAATTAAAATAATGGGAATAGCACAGATAAACTTCCCCAGATCTAAACCATGGCATTTCAGCTGGCAAAAGTGTACTGTGTTTGAAAATAACTTGAGATGAATGTATCTAGCAGGATGGGAGATTGGTACCTGGAATCATCCTCCCAAGTGCTATGATTTTTACACTGGACCAAGTGACCGCAGTTCCCTTAAGATTATGGGAGGAAATAGTTTGAGTTCAGTACATACAAAGGTAGACAACCACATTTGGTCAAACAAATCTCATCCTAAAGGCACCAATTTCTATCCAATGCCTTTACAGGGAGCCTGTGTTGCTGAAGTCAGACAGAGCTGTCTTCTACTACTTGAGATGAATCCTCATCTGATGACAGAAGCCTAATCTGGTTAACTCATATGGAAAATAAAGTTCCATGCTTTAATGGATCACAACCTTTCAACCTTATGATAATGTATCCTGAGAGGTGAAAGTAAAGGACTCATGGTTAGACCACTTGAAATAATGCAAATCCACACATCAGACCTGTCAGAAAATCTTCTTAATCCTTCAATATTTATCACATATTTCAGGGGCTCAGTGAGATATGGAGGAGATTCAGGAGAACAGACAGAGAGAAAATGGTAGCCAACCAATGTCAAAAATATTTCCCTTCAGGGTTTGTAACTTTAGAGAATTAATCTTGCTCAAGCATTTTGCTTTTATTATCATTATTTTTACTCTATATTGCAAATAATATACCACTTATGTCACTGACACATTTCAATCCTTTTCAGAATACTAAGGAACTGTGAGCATGGATTGTGCTGATGGGATGTTTTGCTATTGATTTTGGTGGAATCAAGATTCTTCTAGCACAGCAATTTAAAAAATCTGGTATTATTCAATAGTCCAATTTTATCAAATAAACTTGGAGTCTTACTTCTTCTTAGAAAGGCAGGAAAATAGATGGATTCTGTACCTCTTTTGTCAGATTATACACCAGTTTGTAGAGAAGAGGGGTACAATCAACTCTTAATGTGTAGTTACCTGAAAATAAAACAAAAACATGGAAATTTTCCCTTCATGTACTAGTGGCATTATCTTCCTAATGGATTAGACCCTGCAGTCCTTTCTTAGATAAACTTTTTGACTAAGGCAAGAATTTAGATCTTGCCCCAGAATATATACAGCAATAGACTGCGTAGTCTCACTTTGTAAGCTACTGCCACTACAAAGCAATAAAGTATTGATTATAGTAAATCCACAGTAATGTAATTAAGCCTTCCCATAGCTCTAAAGTATGCCTAATTATCCCTCATTAGCTACAAGCCCTTGTCACTCATATGCTTCCCAAAGCTTTTGTTGAACAGAAGGCAGAAAAGTAAGATGATGGAAAAAATACCAGATAATGTTAATGATATTTCTAAGGAGAGTCTTTATGTGAAAACTGGAAATTCAAGCCACAAAAGTGCTCAAAACAATGACTTGCATTGCTTATTTTCATTGCTATAGGACAATAAATAGAAATAATTTGCTGTCCAAAAAGTGGTATAAGAAGTGTTGTGGAGAACATATGATAATAAACAAAATAATTTTCAGAGCACATGAATGCTGTGAGTCTACGGGGGATTTTACTGCTCAGGTGAGAGATGTCCACAATACCTAAGCCAGTGCACTGAACATGGTGTTCTTTTCCTTATTACACACTTTTTTCCAGTTGTTTTGCTTTCACCTTTTCTTTAATGCATAAAGCAAGAGACATGTTTGAATAATCAAGATTTAGAAGAAAATTGTTAAGGCAGCAGCATGTTGGCTGCAAACCAACTAAAAAATATGCGTTACAATTCATGGTGAGAATATGAAGCAGTTGTAAAGCTATTATTTCATTTGTGAGATTTTCTAGGTGTGAAATTCTGCTCTACTTTTTACCCAGCATGTAGGCAGTATAAATGAACAGCTCTAACCCTCCTTATTCCCCAGCTCCAACTGAGCATTTAGAAACTAGGTTTGGCTTTTCTTTCTTTCCAATACTTTTGTGACAGACAAAATTTTTAGCTGACAGGAATAAAGAGAGTTCCTAAATATGCCTGTAGATATCAATTTTCTTCACACACAGGAAGCCCAAATAAGTTGAATTTGATATGGGAAGAGTTATGCCCTGAATAACTGAGGTTATGAAGCAGAGCAGCTTCACAGGACTCTTCCGACTGTTATTTCGGCACAGAAAACAGCAAAAAGGTCTTTCTGTAATAAAGTGCAACATCATTTCAGAAGGATTTTGTGATATAGATCATAGTGTTGGGCCCTCTCCAAAAAAAGGGCCAGTTTCTAAGCAGCACTCCTGAATGACAAATTCTTCTCATAATCTGAAGGACACTGTAAATTGAATAATGGTGGATAAGGTTTTTTTGTGAAACACTTTTCAGTGTCTTTTTTTTTTAAAAGTCCTGCTGTAATAAATATATAACTCCCTGCTCCTGGCAATCAACAAAGGTGAACACACTGGCTGAAAGCACCAAAGCATCTCCCACCCCCACAAAGTGTAAGCCTGAGGTCTTACCATCATAATAATTTACTGTCTCAAAATATTATAATTCCACAGGGAAAGGAGATAGAGCTGTGATCAGAATAAGGAGCAGACTGTCATATATTCAAACTACAATTGTAAATTAAAGTTAATGCAGTTAAGAGACAGTTTAACATACAGAATGCTCAGTCCATTAGCACAGAATAATAAACACCTCCAGAGGAGATATTCTGGACTCAGACACATGGAGTACAGCTCATGGATAGCACTACTTGCAAAAGAAAGCAACATGAAAACTTAAATTGTTCTCTCTCTCCTCTCAATTAGGTATTTGCTCTACTTATTCTATATACCACAATACCTGTCTCATGCAGTAAATAATTCACAGAGAACTAATAGAAATTACACCTGTAAAGCCAGGTAAAGTTTAAAATAAAAGACCCACCTTCTATAGAGGAATCTGCATTGATGTAAGCAACTGCCCGTTCCTGAAGGACTTTGGAATTTTCCTAGGGTTGTAAATGTACAATTCTTACTTCCAATCAGTGGCATTTAGTCAAGAGCATGTTAAGTGCACTATTTTTTAGAGCATTACTGTTAAGATCTCAGTCAGGATAATTACTACTGTGTACCTTACTAATTATATTGTTTGAGGATGGGATAATGTTCGGGACATATGAAATTCATTGTTCCTTTCTGGGATTCAATTTGTTGTGGAAAACATCCACAAAGTGTAGGTGATTCCTGCTGCATTACACAAGGGCAAAATGGAGCAGGAAAATTACTGAACAGAATTGTAACACAGTAAAATTGGTTATGACATACATTTTAACTCTGCACTTCAGCACTTTCTGAACGTGCAACATGTGACTGTGAGGTCAGCCACAATTCCTCCATTCTTTTAATCCCTAGTTTTCCATATGTGTTCCCAGGACTGAACTCAATTTTAACACTGATAAACCAAGCACTCCTTCCATATCTACAATCTTCCATTTCAAAATGGGATAAGTCTAAACACTGAAATTTTCTACTAAAATGCACTTGACTGAGTATTCTGGGTTCACTAAGCATTCTTTTCATGACAAATATATGCAGACATCTTGTTTATTTTTTTTCAAACTGGTAATTATGTTCAAAATTTATATTCTAATTAGTAAGTGGTATTTCACGAGATTTTGGCTTTGTGACAGATATTTTAATTAGGTTAGCAATTGTTACTTGATTCATTCAATTTATAATCCAACTAATAATTTGTAAGTCATGTGAACTAAAAATTTAATTGGTAATTGATAACTACATAATGAAATTAACATCACAGAAAAACCCCCAAAAAACCCAAACAGGAGAGGAGATCCTGCAAAAGAATATGATGGGAGGGAGCAAGACTGTACTTGCCTATATGGGGCCTTGCATATATGCAAAATCATATTTGCAGCATAAATAAATTCCTTTGTTTATGAGCAATTGAGATTTTCTGTCTAGCAAAAGGATGTTGCCACAGCTGAATTCTTTCTGTTACACAGAAAATGGTGAATATCATGGGTTAAATTTCCTCGAGATTTAATACATGACAGATCTGGCAGCTGCAGAGAAGAGGAATGTAAGCTGTGAGGAATGTCTCTAGAGAAACTGAATCTAATTTAGGTCTAAAAGAGTAGTAATGCACACCACCAAGATGAAGCAAGGAAAAAATAACATTAAAAGACATGTTCAAATATGAACTGTACTTACAGTTTTCTAAGCTTATACAGCTGCCATTTCATGAAATAATGAATGATAGATTACTAGATACCAAATTATTACAGAAAACCCATTACAGAACAGCAGTAGCAATATTTAACAAATAGAACATAAGAAAACTCCCTAATTTATTAATGACGTGTTCAAGAGAAATTGATTTCTTAAGTACCATTGTTTCATATTCGTCATAAAGAAAACAATTGTGTGGTTTTTTGTTTTTTGGGGGTTTTTTTGGGTTTTTTTTTTGGTTGTTGTTTGTTTTGGTTTTTTTTTTCTTGACAGCACCTATATGTATGCAGAGATACACAGACAAAGAAATCACAAATAAAGTTCTACATACAGCATATTTTTGCCACCAGTGGAGTTCAGGAGCTCACGTGAGATGAAAATTTAACGCCAACTATTTAAAATTTCTCAGTAAATGATTTAAAAGAATTTAAATTACTTGTTCTTCATGTTTCATAAACCAATAAGATGAAGACATTGTTACAGCTGGAAGCCAAACAGTTTATGGGTGAAAAAAATAGCGCAGATCTGAAGGAATAGAAATCTCAGCTTTGTTAACAGAAGAGTGATGGAATCCCCTTGGTGTGTGGAAGCATTTTTCTGGGTTTGTTACCTCTTCTGACATGTGCCATTTTGCTATGTAATTTTGTGATTTGCTGAAATACATGCCAATAAACTAAACTAAGAAGATTTGGTTTTTTATTTTATAGATTCTGAAAGCTCTATCCACACAGCTAAATATTAACTTGTAAATAAAATTCTAATAGAAGGATAAGACAACATATATCTGTTAAAATATTCAGTACTAATAAATTGACATAGTTCAGCAGAAATGTGTTTCATCAGGCAATTTTCTTCCTGCTCTATTTCTAATTTGGATTTTACAGACAAAGCAATGAAAACTCTCTCAAGATCTATATTTCTTATTGGGGTTGAACAAATCCACTAAGAACATGCCCAATAGGAAAAGGAAGATAAAAATACCCAGAACCTCACTTCTGAATTTGTCAGCATTCTTCTTTCAGGCAGGTATACAGTCAGGAATCCTCCTACAGAATTAATTGACTGTCCTGCCCCTTAGAACCTACAATGCTGGAATTCACAGGAATTTTGTTCTATTCACTCACAGATTATCTATTCTTTCATTTGCCCAGTAGGATTGATTTTCATACAAAGGCTTGGCATGCTTATGGATCAGAGGTTTAGAATCTGGACTTGAATTTATAGAAACGAAGGAATTTCTCAAATAGAAAGTTAGACCAGTCTGGGTCAAATAAAATGCTATCATTCTGTTAAATAACAAGATAAATTTCCACACATAGACCACTGTGGGATATTAGCTTTGAATCAAAGTAGATTTTTAAATCTTAGAAGAGTTAGTGCACTTATGTTGTTAGAAGCTAGCTAGGTAGGTAATTTATATAAATACATGAGTGTCTCACAACACCTGAAGGAGTCTGTTGTACTCTGATTTTACCACAGAGTTTTTGATTGCAGTTTAGGAATAGATCCTGGATAGTGCAGTCACCTGCAATACACTTTCAAGTTTTGCTTTGCTTTACACAGTTTATTTACCTCTGCCCACTCTGTGGAACCCAATAATCCAAATTCTTCTGCATCCCAGCTAGCAAAAATAATAGTTCGCCTAGGTCTCCAACCTGTAATTACATAGTTAAACTTGAAAATTCAACTTATACTTTAAAAGTCTACTGACCATGCTTAATGAAATAGCTTTAAAAAACAGAACTTAACAGATATTACAGTAAAAAAAAATTCTCTCTAAAATCCTTAGGGGAACATATTGTTGCAGAGGCATTTCTTAATGCAATATTTTCATTCTGCACAGCTAAGAGGGTATCAATACTCAAAAGGGAATAAATTCAGCCAACTACCACGCAATGCCACATATGCATCTCTCCAATGAGCCTACAGCTTTCATAATGAGAAATAAAACTTTCTGTAGAGGTGAAAAGTTAAATCAATACAAAAGCTTATGGAAGCACTGATGCTCAAAGCTGCTGTTTCCTATATCCATCATTTTACATCTGTAGTAAGTTACCTTCCATCTTCATTTTACCAAAACTCCGTACGATTTCTTGCAGAACAGCAGCACCAGTGGTTGGATCAATACCACCGAACACCCAAGAATCTCTGTGACCACCTAAAATAATGTATCTGTCTGGAAACAAACATACAGTATCAATTAATAATTCAAAATGCACTTGGATTACCTGTGATTTCCTTTGGCTGCATCTTTACTTGTATGAAATCAAATATAAAGTTCAATATCAGTTTTACAAGTTTATTTTTTTAAGGGGATCTGCAATCATTAACTTACTCTACTAAGGTCTGCAACTAACGACAGTAAATATTTAATAAATATTTAAAAGTCTTTGTTGTGTGTGACCTGTTACAGTAGTATAATGTATCAATAATATAAAGTATCAATAGTATCAACAGTATAATGTTAACATCCCAAATCATTACTAGCTTTCTGTAATTTGAATGATGTTAATTATTGCAAAGGCAAAATCTATGACTGATGTAAGGTGAAGCATACTGTAAAGTGGCAGGAATTATAAAAAAAACCCATTCTCCCATGTCTATCACTGTATTTTAAAGGGAATGCCATTCTTGGGAATGCCAATGACAAATAGTGTGATGGGAAAGACAATAAAACTACTAAGAATTTCTCAAGACTCTGTGTTGTGTGGTTATCTAAAACACTTTAAGTTTCTTACAACACAAGTACAATTTCAACAAATACAAAAGAAAGAAGGAATTAAAATCATCAAGCACCTGATGCTCACCTGATTCCAGAGCTCCTCTGAGGATGCCAATGACATTGTAAATTCGTGTGATTTTATTCCTTGTATGAACATGCATTCTGACTTTTCTGAAATGAAAGGGAGTGTGGAGTAACCATTTTTGATTAATAAGCCAATAAAAAGCCAATGCTAACAACACATAAACCAGAGAGTTTGTGCTTCTGTCCTGCTTTGTGTTTTCAACACTGATCCAATGTGTGTTCAGCACTGTCATGCTGTCTCAGAAACCCATTTTTTATTTCAGTTTAGCCTGCTGATGACGCCTTAGAAAAAATCCTGAGCTGGGCCAGTTTATAAATTTGTGAAGATTTGCAGAATTTATAGAACTTTTTTTTTATGGGAACCAATCAGATAATTGTGTACTAGAGGAATAAACTGAAAAACATGCACAGTAATTAAAAATACATCTCCCTTTTGACCAAAATTATAATTGTGGATATGCAAATGTTTACAAAGAATACACTTTGGTTTTTTAGCACAGGTCCATGCAATAATATAGAACCTGGAGGAAAGGTCATTAGGAATATTCATCCAGAAATAAACTGAAATCTCTATTTAGGACAGCAGATCTAAGGGATTAAGATTTGTCAGTCACAGAATCACAGAATTGTTTGGGTTGGCAGAGACCTTAAAAGTCATCTAGTTCCAATCTCCTGTCAGGGGCAGGGAATCTTCCATTAAAGACAGAAAACCCTCTACTAGAAGCACAGTTTTTTATCTCCCTGTCCCCCACCAGTAAATTCCACTTGTGAAATTTTATAAAAACAAAGGGAATCTGGGTATTTGGAGAGATAAAACTAACACAGTGTTCAGCCCCCTTATGCTGTGGAAGAAACAAAGCACCAAACAATGGGGAGGTTCTGTGTCTGGCAAAACCTCAGGAGATCCACATTTGAAGTTATCTTTTCAGCAGCAAATCTGCATAGCTGTCAAAATCAAAACCTACTTCAGGACAGCCACTGGATCTTTGCCCAGAAAGTAACAGAAACCAGTGCCTTGAACATGCAAAATGTGCACACTTTCCACGTGCAAGTGACTTTCTACCTAGAATCAAAAGGTTCATTTTGATATGTACATGTGTAGAAATAATCCATATTTACAAAAAAAAAAGTTACTCTATCAAAGTAGGAAGATGTTAAAAATTCTACTCAAAAATACAAGTTTTGTGGATGAATCATCTTGTTTTCTCATTGTTGCTTTTCAAGATACTCCAAACAGCACTGTAATTATGTTAAATATGCTTTCTTTAGTTATTCCTACTTCATTCATTTTCAGCTAGTGTTAAAGCAGAGAAGAAAAGAATAATCATAAATGAAGTATTTATAAAATTATATACATACTCAGACATACACTTGTTATCCAGGAGAAGTAGAGATAAGGATACACCATTTTTACACACTGTTCATTGGGGTCCACTAACAGTCCTCATTAAATAATACCTCATGTAAACTGAAACTATAATTATGTAAATTATAGAAAAGTGATCTTTAGCTTTATTGCAATTTATTGCCAAATGTCATTGTCATGTGGCTTGATCTGCTAATTTATGATCTTTTTCTAATGCAATTTATTTTCAAATTCTAATAATTATCTCTAAATGTATCCCTAGCAGAAGGAAGTAAATATCTTCAGAGTATGTGTAGATGTATTGCTTCAGAGTCTTTTCCTCAGAGGGATTTTTTTTTTTTTTTTTTGCAATACTGTAAAAACAGGCAAGTATTAAAACAGACCTTGTAGAAGAGTTGCCTGTGAATCCTGGCCCTATATTATAAGACACATTGAGACTTCCCTTCCAGCTGCTGTCTGGAGCTGCAGGTCCTCCCATTGCACTGTGAAGTGAAAACCAAGACAAATGCAGTTGACCATTAGGCTGAAACCTTAAATTCTCTTAAAAATTATTGCAGCAAAACCTAGGTGGTTTCACAAAATTCTTAAAAGCATTATTGCAAAACCAGAATGCTTTGAATTTTCCACATTTTCTGGAATTACTACATTACTACTACATTAATTACTACATTATTACTTCTGAATTACTTTCATTACTACAAAAGAGTAGCAAATGAAAGTAAGAGCATAGATTTAGCTATCTTAATATGAAAAATTTGTCTGCACATTTGTCAACCCTGACTTCTGGAGAGGAGGACAGATGTATACTCACCGTAGTAACACTTCTGCATCATGATACCCAATGGGATGAACCGGGATTTTGGGAATCCCTACACCTCCATCAAATTTGTATCTGAAAGTGTACTCTGAGAAACCAGAACAATGTCAAGTTTATGGCATTCTTAGCAACTTCAACCAAACTGGAAACACTTTTGAGCAGAGCAGCCACAAGCATGCATGATTCTTTTTAATTCTTACATCATTTCTCACACACTTCTTCTAGAAAACCAAACTGCAATGACAGAACCAGTAATGCATCTGCACTGCAGTGCAAAAGATGTCCCATGCTTGATGCAAAGCTAGATTGCTGTCCAACCATGTTATTACATTTCCTCCAAGCTGGCTCTGGGGAAACCAAGCAGGTATGTGAGGTGAATATGACACCTGTGCAGCTGCTTGACAAGCTGCAGAGGACATCCACAGATGCATTTCCCAGGGTTGAAGACATCAGCCAGCATCTCTGTGAGCCTGCTGAACCTGGCACACACAACCTCTCCTGGGTTTAGGTTGTCTTATGTCCCCAGCAGTAGCCACACAAGCTACCCATGAGCTTTCCAGAAGCATCCCTGTACAGCCATCCCATCAGCACCCAGCACTGGCAGGCATCTTAGTTCAGACCAAGTTTAGGATGCCAACAAGGACAAGAGAAGCACATGATACCAAATTTTGAAGGACTCCAGGCTGCTCTTATTTTTTCTATAGGAATTTTATTCCATTTAAAAAGGATTTTAAACTGTTTTTTCTGCCTGGAAGTTATGATCAGCAAGGAAACATACCACCAAGTAAAGCTATTAGTCCTCTTTGATGGCAAAGTATAACCTAGTTTAAAATGCTCCTCTTGAGAAACACAGATATTTTAAAAAGGCTGTAAATTCTCATTCATTTTCTGCTGCTTCACAGTCTGTAAACCTACATGTCCTGCTTTTTTATGTGTCACAAGGGTGGGACGACACAAAAAGTTTCCTAGAAACTTTATTCCGCTGCCTAACTGAAAGCAGTTAGAATTACACAGACAGAACTTAGTGTGTCACTGTCATGTTTTCTGAAAAATCCCTTCACCAGCACTTCTTCTCCTGGGAAGCTGAAAAGCCTCAGAGAAAAATGAAAACAATAATTATCTGATTGCTTCTCCTGTTTTTGCTGCTTTGGAGTGTGGTCTGGAGTTTGTTTACCAACTGGTCATTGTTTGATTGGTCTCATGTGAATTGTTTTGACTTAATGACCAATCACGGTCAGGCTGTGTCTGGAAGGAGTCACGAGTTTTCATTATCATTCTTTGTAGCCTCTGTCTGTATCCTTTCTCTATTCTTTAGTATTGTTTAGTATAGCATTCTTTAATATTATATAATATCATAAATAATAAACTAGCCTTCTAAGAACATGGAGTCAGATTCAATCATTCCTCCTTCCTCCTGGGGACCTGAAAAGACCACAGTTAGTTTGCAATGGAAAAGTAACTATTGTCACTAAGAATTTTAAGCAGCTTTTTTCTGTGCATCTGTGCTGAAAATAAATTAACTCCTAGTGCCACACTTCCAGCAGCAGTTTATGAAGTACTTGATGGCCCAGGCTACAGAACTTGCACTCACCTTTGGCAGGATAACCTGGTGTTAGAGGGTCCCCAGCTCCATTCAGATTTAAAACATTCCCACGCTGGACTCCTCCACCTGGAAGGTTCCATCCACCTGGATAAGGATCTACTCCTGGAGCACAGTAGTCAGCAGGGTCTGAGTAAAGTATAATCCCTTGGGCTCCTGCTAATATGGCATTTTTAACCTGAAAAATTATTTGGCTTTAAGATACAGCTTTTTTTTTTTTTAATGAAGCAATAAATCTGAATGTTGAGATTGGTTGAGATTGGCTTACATGCACATGTTTTTAGAAGACAAGTATGTGAAAGAGTTGAAAATTACCCCAGATTCAGCTGAAGAACCAAGCATAGTGAAATGCAGTATGTTCATTATTTGTGTCAAACTTTTAGTCATAGCTTAAGGCTATGAAATAAAGAACAGAACATAAAAATGAGGCACAAAACCTGACCACCATCCCCAGTGCCCCACTATCACCAATTTTGCCAGATTCGTTGTCTAAAATCAGAAGAGATGGTTACTCAGTTTCTGTGCATCAGACTCCTTGTCAAAGTGCTACTATTTCAAAGTACTGCAGTTCTATGGATGGCACATATCAAAAGACTTGGCTCTACAAAATACTCAGTTCCCTGAACTATTCTCTTGAAAGAGCTGCCTAGGGAGTTTGCAGTCATCTCTGTCTCAGGAGTTTAATACATTCATCTGTTTTTATTGTTTTGGAAGTTATTCTTAGACTGCAGTCACAATGGATACATTTCAGGCTTCCTTCTGCTCATATGTTCCAATGAACAGCCCTTATTAATTCCCTCAAGCTCTGCCATCAACAGTGTCTGACCCACAGAAGAAAAATTAAAACACAACCCTTACTTTGTTTCCTCTGAAGATCTTCCCATATCTGGCAATAACAATCTTTCCTGTACAGTTAATTCCCATTTCACGCTCCAGCTTAAAAAAATCTTCTGTACGGCCATAATTCACATACACCAGATCTGCCTGGGCAGAAAAGAAAAGCAGTGGTGTGGCAATCGGTCAGTCAACAAACAAAATACAAAATTATCAGAAAAAATTTCATTCACTATGTATGACAGAGGATTTTAATTTTTTTTTCATTTCTACAATGAGATCCAGTGTCCATAAAAACAACAGCAAAACATATCCACAATGTTCTATAGGAAGCTTTGGCTCAAAATTCTGATTGGCTATCATCCTACAGTTAACAGTCCTAAAAACAGGCTGCAAAATAAACCAGAGTACAGGTAAACTGACAAACATTTCTGGCTGTGACAAAGCAGTGCTATGCCTTATATAGACAAACTTACCAGTCCTAAAAACAGGCTGCAAAATAAACGAGAGTACTTTGGTAAACTGACAAACATTTCTGGCTGTGACAAAGCAGTGCTATGCCTTATATAGACAAACACTCACTACTATAAAAATTCACTCATTTTTGCAATGCAATGCTGTCCCTGACCTGTTCCATAATGAATTAGCAGATTAAGTGAGGAATTTTTGTGGCCTTTGAAGGCATTCATTTAATCTGTCTTCCAATTTGATATAAATATTCTAGTGTTATTCTACTAAATGCTACTTCTACCTGTGCCTTAAGCTAGTCCTCTACATATGACTGAATAACATGGAGCAATCTGAGATGTATCCAAAATTTTCCATCAAGATAAAAACTTTTCACTTATTATGTTATTCAGAGTTCTAGCAATTTGGGAAAGCTCTTTTTTTACTCATAAAAGTCTTCTAACCTTTGCATAATATGAGCCCTATCTGTGCCTAGGTGTTTTTTAATTAAGAAAAATTATAATTAAAACTACAGCAACAAATATTTTGAGAAGTTGGAGCAATCTGTCCCAGCAAGTGTTTCAAAAAATAGGTAATAGTACCATTACATAATTTCTTTTCTCACCTCTGGCACTCCTTGTGCTGAAAAAGCATTATATGGTGGTAGTATATCACTAACATTTTCATAGCCCTGTGGAGGTGGTTCAAACAATGATGTATTGAAAACCTATCAAAAAAATAACAGTAGTCTTTGGTCAAACATTCTAGGCACAAATTCACACACTAAGAAAATGTTAATTATAGTTTAAACTAAAGTTAGGAGACAGCTATTCAGTTTCTGTGCATCAGACTTCTCGTCAAATAATTACTATTTCAAAATACTGCAGTCCTATGGATAAAAAGTATGAAAAGCCCTGTCTTTTGCCAAGATAGTCAGCTTTGTCAGAAGTTTAAATTATAGTTTCCATGAATTGATAGCAAAAAATACAGTTCTAACTAGTACACATAAGTTCAAACAAAAAGACAGGTAGGGATCCAGAGCTGAAATTTTGTAATAGAATGCAGATAAGAATACAAAGAGACAGATCACGTGTCAGAAGATGCTCATCAGTCACTGCCTCCACCTAAAGAAAGAAGTAGCTTAAAATTGCCAAGAGATGGTGACAGAAAAAGACATCTGGTTCATCCATGTCATCCCAAGTGTCTTTTTGTGGTTTCTCCCACCTGCATTATTATTCTCTTTATCTCTTGTCTAGTAATACTCCAGTTAAACATGTTGCCTTTCATCGCTATGCATTGTAACACTCACATTGCTTTAAGTTGCACATCCACTGTTGCCACGTTGTGAGACTGTAGCTGAGACTGTTACAGGGTTTCTGGAAGAACTCCTTCATTCTTTCACCTCTAAGCTTGTGTTATCCCTGAGCACACACTCCTTACTTTCTACCCTGGCTCTTCATCCTTACCTATGTGCTATGATGCTGCTCTAGCAGTGCCACCTCCTCTCCTTACTCAGCATCCTTGTCAGAATTTACATCTACTTCTTTATTTCCCTAGGCATTCAAAAGGGAGAAGATGTCTACAGACTGACTAGTTCATTCGTACTTCTAACACTAACTTAGGAGACATCATAGGAAGCCAGTGGGATCAGGTTCAGAGCAAGGGAAACAAGGCAATACTACATAAAATTGATAGTACCTCAGCATGTTGTGGAAGCAAATATTGTACAGCTGTTCAAGCAGGGTTGAAATTGATAGTATCTCTGCAATCTCCTTACCTCAGCATGTTGTGGAAACAAATATTGTACAGCTGTTCAAGCAGGGTTTGGATAGGTACTTGGAAGAGAGATGCAATGAGGGTCACTGACTGGATAAATACTTGGAAAAGACCTAATGAAGATTTTTCAAGAGACAAATTGCAGCACAGTCAGAGAAGCCCTGAGCTGAAAACAGCGAGACACTGGAAGAACTGCATGCCTGAAATACATTTCTTTGTTCTTAAACGTCCCTGTGCGTCCACTTAAATCTGTTTATGGAAATAGGATATTAGCCTAGATGTATCCTTAAGCTGAACCCTTCTAACACCTTATGGTCTACTGGTGTTAACTGCAGCCTCTCCACACATCCTCACTCTTCCATATGAGGCACTCAGATCTCAGTCACTTTGCTGTGTTTTCTGCATAGCCTGGAAAACCATTTCCAAATATGAATTCCCTTTGCACTGGATTATTTTTTGATAATATAAAGCATATGCTGAGCTGAGTAGGTGAGAATACAGAGGATGACACTTTTTTAATAGGAAATCACTTGGAGATTTTTTAGGTTTTACAGTAACATAGTTTTGTCATTGAAAAGATCACCTCATTCCCTTGATCATCAATTAGTGAAATGTAGTTTGGCTGCTCTTCATTTGGGTATGAAAGAAGCACATCATAATTAACAAGTTCTGCTGAATCCAATCCAAATTCCTTCCACTGGCCTTGAATTTTTTTGGCAAGAAGAAGATTCTGTTCAGTTCCTGCGAGGTGAGGCAACTTGGTAAATGAACTAGAACAAAACAGAAAACCACTGGTAAGCAGCAAATGTAGAGAGATACAATACTGAAATAGGATCAGTGTGTATAAAGATAATCTTCAAGACACACTGCATGGACAGTAAGGTCTGAAAACTTGAGCTATAAAACATGATTGCTTATCAGAGTCTGCATGAGGGCATGTAGAAAATATACTCAGAGCAGAGGATCTTTCCTGAGGCCTTAAGGTAAATCAACTGAACTTTTTTCTTTGCGTAACAGGAATAGCCACATCTACACACAAGCAATGAAAATCAATGTCAAAGATTCAGCAAAAGAATATTAGCAGTATGCAAAAAGCAGAAATAAATGTAGGAAAGCTACATATTCAGAAAGGAGACTTGCAGATAATTCTGGTATCTGATCATGGATTTGTACTGTTGTCACAGCGTGTCCTAATAAAATCACTACATTAAATTATCTGCATAGGTTTGCTCTTTTTTCTTAATCCAAAGCCTGAATAACAAAACCTTCTTAACAACATTTACATCCATATCAGATATAACACATGTTGATATGTAACACCATGTTGATAAATAGTCACAGATTCCAGTCTCTCTGGGCTACCCTAGAGAAGCCTGCGTACCATTTGCTTGGCCCAGTGAACAAGTAAGAAAGGTGAAAGCTCATCAGTCAGCCAGGTACTCTGCATCAACTTCCAATTCCCAACAGGCTACTTGTCAATGGCTGCCCCACAGATGTCAGATACCAGCAATTACCATTAATTAGAGGTAGCAAATACCATGATTAATATCACTTCAGCCTGTCATTTCAGACTGTTTTCAGCCCTTGTTCTGCAGGGTGCACTTCCTCAGCTTCCAAATGAGAATGATGTCCAAAACTTTGTTAAAGTTAAGGTTGCCACAGCCACTATAATGTCTCCACTCATGCACATAGCCAGTCATTTCCTGACAGAAGGCAATATGCTGACCATACAAACAAATAGTAAATAAATACTGACTCTTCCAAACTATATTTCTGTCCTTTGTATGTTTGAAAACAGATACCAGAAGGATGTTTTGTCACCCTTCCAGACCTGAAGCAGACCAGCTCAGAGTCACTCCAAGCTGTCCTTATTTTTTAAAAGAGGGGCATATTTAAAAGATATTTTTTAAAAGTATCAGCCTTTTTCAGCCACCTGGGGCCTCTTGCAATCATCAGAATTTCTCTTCTACAGCAACATTGCAATCATAACATAAAGGTCTTTCCTGGCCCCAGGATTTGAATGCATCCAGATTCTCTAAGTAGACCACAACCTTTTTCCCTCTGCTGTTGTTGTTCCCTTTCTTTAAACTGTGAGGGTATGCACCAAAGTCTGGAAGAAATCTTTGCCAAACTCTGTTCCTTGTTTGCCCCTTGCACTTTAATTCCCACTAGTATTTTAAGTACCTTTTAATTCTTTAAGTATACTGAATAATACATATGCCATCAGGAAAAACACACATGATTTTTTTTTCCAAATTTTCCCTTGCAAGCAGTTTAATCCTTTCCAGAGCTCTGATAAAATGCTAAGACCAAAGTGTCTGCATTTTCTGAGACTTGTAGGTTTTTTTCCCCATGTGATAAAAGCAGACGTAGTAGTCTGAAAAATGAAGAATATGGATAAAAATTCTCAAGTTCACTTTTTTTAATGTTTTTGACAAACGTTTTGGATAGTGTGTTAATACAATTTCTCTCCATTTCCTAATTTTATTTGAATTTAGGCAAAAAAAAATCGACAACCAGCATGAAGCATTTGGCCCATTACCAAAGCAAGCAGACAAATGAGAAGCCATTAATATCCCACGGCCAAGAGACTTTGGCCTAATTACAGAGCTATTTCATGCTATGTTGCCTAGACTCTCACTCAAACATAATTTTCAGGATCTCTCCAATCTACTGAAAGTAATGAATACAAAACAAGATTAGGCCTGTAGACTTAAGCTTATTGTTGTTAGGTATGACACCTTTTGGGTTTAGAACAAATGTGTAGAATTCAAATTTGTCAGTAATCCTTTGATGTCCTTGATGCAACTGTTGACTTACTAACCAGAGTGAGTATTTATTTACTTTTTATGTGAATATATTAGTTCCTCTATAGAACATATAAATATATCGAATAATGTGGGGTTTTTTTTCATTTTCATGGAATGGAAAAAAAAAGGTATTTTTATATCCCTAGTATTTTAGAAGGTTTTAAAGAACTGCATGGATGCACTATGATGCAAAAAAGTATATTTACTAACATGAAAGCTTTAACCAAGCATACACTCACACAGATCATGGACAGAGCCCTTTATCTCAGAAGATGGGGTATAATGGGATGTCAGATCTCCCAATTAACAGCACATTATCCAGTATGGCCACACTAAAGGAATTTTAAGTTGTAAGTATACATACAACTCAGTGCCATCCAAATTTGTAGTTTTAATTTTTAATAGATTAATTTTCTACTTAGACTAGCTGCTCAAACTGAAAGTTTAAAGAGACAAGGAACAGATCATCAGTCAGATATAATTCATGTCAATCATCATATCTCCGAGTAAAATTATCTCAGTCTGAAAGAAAACAGTTATCTGAGTTTAGAGCTTCAGATACTTTCAGTGAAGAAAAAAAAAAAGGCACACTTCATTAAATCATGAAGATGGGAAATCATGAAGACTGGTAAGCACTAGCAGTAATGCAGCTGAGGGAAGCACACTTGACAGTACAACCACTTCAAAAAGGCAACTTCAAAAATGGGGAGGGGGGGGAACAGAAGAGTTGTAAGCCTCTCCCTTCTTCCCTCAGCATTTCAAACAAACTAAATACTCCAAAGCATCTTAAAAGCTCTGCTTTCAGAGGCCCTTCCTTGGAGCTGATGTTATCACTTTCTGGCTTTTTTGACTGATAAAATTGTTCAAAAAACGATGCACGAGCTTACCGAAGAAATTTCCTGATGTTCTCTGCTTTCATTTCAGCCACAAGTTTCTGCCTCACATTTTGATGCACATCTGAAGAGTTGGGGTTTTTCTCAGTCAGTTTTGTAAACCATCCTGAAAGACATTTGAGAAGTTTCCTACTTAGCAACAATGTCCTCACACATTTGAGCACAGGTGCAACCTGTGGTGCTAAACAGTTAAAACCACAAGGATTAACAGGGTTTAAAGCACCCTCGGCCAGTGTCTGAGGGCCCAAGCAGAAAAGTAAAATACATTTCATTGACTGAAATGTCTAAAATTGACATAATTAAGAGAGTAAACCCTAAATCCCCTTTTTAAAGTAGACTCCTCTCTCATTAATTTTAAACTACAGTTTAAATTCTCATTTAACTGTTTGCAGTGTAAGGTTCGAACTCCTGATACTCATGATGAAATTACTTTATTTAGCTTATGCATATATTTTAAAATAGATGTGTAAGCATATTTAAAGTGAAGGTCTAGGATTCAACAGCCACCCTGCCAGCATTGCAATAGTTACAGACCTGGGGAAGGGTGGGGTTGGTCTATTTAATAACTAAAAGAAAAAATTTAACTGTCACCCAATCCAGTTTTAAAATGTTTATTCAGTGGCCATAAATAGTAGAAGGAGAGGGTATATCAACTGTATGAGTTTTTCTTAAGAAAAACAACAACACAAAAAAATCCTTTTATTATTATAGCTAGACAATCCCAAAGTGGGAAAATTTTCATAAGAAAGACAAACACATGTGCTGTCATGTGCACAGTATATATGACCTGTTACACTTAAATTGTAGTAACACTCTGAACTGAATGGTGACACTTGATCAGACTAAAAGTCCATCTTGCCAAAACAGTATCCTGTTTTGGGCTGGGCCAAAAGATGATGTTCAGGGAAATGTATAAGCATAGCACAAGCACCAGAAATTATCAGCTCAGAGATCTCCAAAATTAAACTAATATTTTATATATTTAATAACTCTCATGGATTTTCCTTTCATGCTTTAGTGTTAGGTTTGTTTTACAACCCAAGTTTAAAAAGGACATGCAATTTTAATTTGAAATCAAATACTGCAAGTGACTTCAGAAAAGAATCTCTAGTGAAGTTCAATGTGCATAATGAAAACTTCAGTAACTTGGCTGTCAGTCAAACTCCTCCTCTACATTCTACCCTTGATTTCTAAAATAGCAACAGAATAGGAGCATTTAAAAATCTCTTCAATAAAAAACAGGAAATAAAAATTAAAAAAAAAAAATCTGGGAGATCTTGCAGTCACTGAAGTCTCAAACTCTTGCATTAATCTTTTCCCTTTGAATGCCTGGCTCCCTCTTTTGGGAAGCTGTCAGCTCCCCAGGGCTTGTCCCGAGCTGAAGCACAGAGCCGTTCTGTTCCTCGCTCCCTGAAGACTGAAACTGCTAGACAGAAAAGCTTAGAAAAGCAGTGGGACGAATACCCTCTCATGCCCCTAGAGAGTACTACAATCTCCCTGCTGGTGAGTTAATCACAACAGGGGTTGCACACAAGTGTGTGCAGGGGAAAGAAGCTGGGCTGAGCCCCGGGTCTCCGCACTCACCTGTGAGAAAGCCCAGCAAGAAGCAGCCGAGCAGCCCGGGGCACACGAGCCACGCACGGAGCGTGGCCTTGCTCCTGCTCCCGGCCATGGTCAGCACTGCCCGGCAGGCTCTGGGGGCCGGCAAGCTCTGCCTTCCTCCTCCTCCTTCTTCTCCTCCTCCTCCTTCCACCCGCAGCCCCAGGGCTGTCCCAGCCTTCTTTGCTTCTCAGTTCTCATGCTGCCTAAGTAAGCAACTTTAATCCCTGGCTGATGGTGATGAAATGGTTTTCCAGATGCAGTTAAACTCTTCCATTCCACCAGACAGCCCCTGTGTAGCTGGGTGTGTATATCTGTAACAAATATGTACCAGGCTGTGCACCAAGCAATGTACATGTAGTATTTATAATCTTAATTTCTACTAATTATCAGGATTTTATGGTTTTGAAAGTTCCTGATTTAGACTTGTTCACAACCAGTTCAAGCAGAAGTGGCCAAGAGATGGAATTAAGGGAAAAAATATTTCCTCTTTACCAACGAAACACTGAATTGCTTCCCTTTTTAATCTATGGTAACATTAATCCTTAGCAAGGAATGTATACTTAGAGCAGCTGAGAATATAATTTAGATTGGCCAAACATCATCCAATTTGCATCTAGGAAAAGTTGCAAATTTATTTCCTATATTCTCTAGCTATTTGCACTTAAGATTACAAACTTCTTAAGATCAAGTTTTCCTCGTCTAATTTAGTCAAATCCATCAGTATCTCATGGGGAAGTAAACAACTGCAGCCCAGTGAACAGTCAAAAGATAAGCTCACAGAATCATCACATTTTGCATAAACTCAGTAACCTTGCACATCACTCCCTGCCACCGAGTTCCTTCATGGATACACAGAAGCCAAGACTGATCTTTCTGGAGCTGAGGACCTGCCCATTTGAGACCAGTTATATAGCTGAAGGCAGGAAAGATTTTCTGGGAGGCTGGGCATGCTCCAGATTCCTACCACTCACTCCCAAAGCCCAAAGTAAATACTGTTTGTGAAAGAAATGTCAGTATTCTGAGTATCAAAACTTTCTTAAATACATAATGATGAGCTGAAAATATTCAGAAAAAGTAGGAAAGACTGGTTAATGTCCTAATTACTTAAACTAGGGCTTTTCAGAGAAAAATTACACCACTTGGGTATTCCACAACAGTCATAGCCACTGTCTTAAGCACAGGGCTGGATGTCTTTGTTCAAAAGATAAGCAGGTCCAGTCCTGTGATTTTTTTCACTGTCATTTCCCAACTGCTCATAAATCATCACAAATTCTGAACAGCAATGACATTTCACACCAGCATCTGAATTGACATATACAAACCAGATGGAATTCCACCTACAGAACTCACAAAGAATGAACATATTGATGTATTATTAACATTTATATAGCACCACAGGTGTAGGACTGGCACATAATAGACAGTAAAGTGACAAGTGCTTTTGGAGATTGCTATCAAAATTAGACCTCACATGATAATAACATCAGTGGAGGAAGAAGGTAAGAATAGCAACAGTGAGAATGTATGAAATGCATTTATTTCTATGTGAACGTCTTTTTAAAGTGACAAGGGCATTAGCAATTCTGAGGCTGAACAACAAGCAGCAGCCAAATGGCTTCTACCATTTAAAATACAGCCCTATCACTGTTAGTTATTAGTTGTGACAAGTTCTTACATGCCATGGATTAGCCACAGGTGGAGTATATTATGTTACAATTAAATGCAAGTATAACATACAGTGTAAATCTGTCTTCAATCACATGCCCTCCTCAACAAGACTGGGGCAGGAAATAAGATGAAAAAGCTTATGGGTTGAAATGAATACAAATCACTTGATGATTACCATCATTAGCAAAACAGATTCCACTCAGGAAAAAGTAATTTATTACAAATTAAAAGAGACTTGGCTAGTTAGAAACAAAGCCAAAAATTAAGACATCTTCTTCCACATTGCAACAATTTTTTTTCAGCTTAACCTTCTTTACTTGTAACTTTTTTATGCCATGGGGTTTCCCCATGCAACACAAGGGCCATCCTGGGATCAGGCCAGATATCCTAGGGTATCTAAAGTGTGATAAGCACCTATCTTTAGGCACTTGAATTATTCTGCACTGAGAGTGTTTACTTCCTAATAGACAGTGTCATCTGGGAGCTCAGAGAGTGTCCTAAACTTCTAGACAGAGCAAACCTGTACAGGGCAGCATTTGTGTCCTGCTCTGGGGTAACAGCTAGAGGCCAGGTGAGACTTCTTCTGAATACTGCTCTGTGCAGCCATGGTGCTCACCATGGCCTGCCCCATGGGCTCCAGGGGAATCTCTGCTCTGACACTTGAAACGCCTCCTTCCCCTCCTTCTGCACTAACCTTGGGCTCTGCAGGGCCCACACATTTTTCAGTGCTCTGTAGTCTGGCTCTAATTGCTTCTGCACAGTAACTTCCTCCCTTTCTAAAATCTGTTATCCCAGAGGTGCTGCTACCACCTCAGATGGGCTCAGCCTTGCCCAGCAGCCATCTCGGAGCTGGTTGGCATTGGCTCTGTCAGACACAAGGGGAGCTTCCAGGGCTCCTCACAGAAGCCACCACTGTAGCCCTTCACTATGAAAACATCGCCACACAAACCCAATAGAGATTGAGACAGACTTTTAGTAGGGCCTGTTGCAATAGGTCAAGTCATAGTTTTAAACTAAAATAGGGTAGATTCAGACTAGATATAAAGAATCTTTTTTACAGTGAGGGTGGTGAGTAACTAGCACAAGTTTCCCAGGGAGGTGGTGGATGTCCCATCCCTGGAAACATTCACGGTCATGTTGGACAGGGCTCTGAGCCAGCTGGTCCAGTTGAAAATGTCCCTGCTCACTGCAGGGGGAGAGAACTGGATGGTATTTGCAGGACCCTTCCAACCCAAACTGTTGTATTGTATTCTATGAATCAGCTTGCTGTGCTGTGGAGGCTGGTGAAAAGAGTGACATTACTACACAAGACTTTTTGTTGTCCCCCTGGGATCATAGCTGTTTTATATACAAACATTTTGTATTGGCTTGCAGGTTGCAAAAGTATCCCTGACTTATCTCACCTGCAAATTCCTTGGAAGAAAATCAGCATGTGAAGGCTGAGTAACTACCATTCACCCAAGTGACACAGAAGCGAGATGAGGTTTTGTTGCATGCATACATATACACAAGGCCAAGTATAGTATGAAGTCTTACAAATGCTCCTCAGAATAACTGGAGTCAGAGAAAAATGATCCTGACATGTGAGATCCAAAATAAAGCATTGTCAGGAATGCAAAGTCACATATGTGAGAAGGTGGAAGAAGCTGCTCCCACACAAACCTCATCTCACTCTCAGCTGTTACTGATCATCTCATTTCGCACCCAAGAAGAGACCTCAGAGCTCTTGACACGATCAGCAGCCCAAAAGACTCATCTTCGTTTGAGTCCTTTCTTGACAATATCAAGGCCACATCCATCAGCCGCCCTGTTATTTTACATGGGGCTTTACCAGCTAGAACTAAGATGTTAGTAGAGATACCTCTACAAGTGCATTGCTGATAATAGCTGAGTATTTTACTCAATTTTGAAAATACACACTTCAGTCTACGTTTAATCAAAGGTTTGAGGCTAAAAGGAGATAAGACCAACCCAAAGTAGTCAGAGAAATTATGCAAAACAAGCTATGGAAAGATTACATGGTGAAAGGACTCCTTTTCTTATAGCAGGTGAGAAAAACGGTCCAAACCATAAACTCCTGAACACACTGTATTTCCTTAAATTAGTATCACTTTTAGAATTATCATGAAAATTATTGGTTACTGCATATGCCTCAGGCTGAGTTCAGGAGTAGTGAGAATTGCTCATTCTGAGAGTGAAAACAAGAGTGAGGTTCAGCTGGAGCTAGGAGCACTTGCAGGTAGCTATATATACTCTACTTATTTAAAACACATAAATCCCTGGTAAACTAAAAAAAAGTTCAAAAAATATTTGGCAAGGATACACATGCCAAATGCAAAACTAGCATGCATTTGTGTGTTGAATGCATAATTCTGCTATTCAGCCAATTAGTAAAGCCAGTAATGGTACATGAAACACAGAATGAATGCCAGGGCTTGTAAACTGTAGGTTGTAGTAATTGGGCCCTAAAGCTTAATATCTGCAGCAAGAAAGATACACTGCTCTTGTGGTGTTTGACCTACTGCCTGGCTAAAGATTGAACTTGTGGCTTGAGAGATCAAGGGACCGTGATCTGTGAGAAAGACAGCTCTGGCAGGAAAAATGGCAACAGGGGAATGCTCAACTGCAACTTCAAATCAGTAATTTCCTTCTGACTCTGCCAGTTGCACAGACCCCTGAACTCTCTCACGGCCTCTGCACTCTTTCTATCAGATTACAACAGTAGTAGATGCTGATTCTTTGAGTCTGAGTCTCTCTTATCTAAAGCTTCAAGAGGCCATTATCAGATTCCAGCTAAATGTTTACACTGCCGGCAGCTGACAAGTGCAGTTTGCAAACTTTGACCCTTTCTTTCAGAAGAGAATGTACCCAGTGAGGCCGAGAGAGTAAAGGACTGTGCACTTCACCTTAAGGCCACTCCTCCTTGTCCTGTCACACATGTCCTTTTACAAAGTCCCCCTCCAGCCCTCTTTAGGTACTGGAAGGTGCTGCGAGGTCTCCATGGAGCTTTCTCTTCTCCATGCTGAACAGCCCCAGCTCTCCCAGGCTGTCTCCACAGCAGAGGTGCTCCAGGCCTGCAGTTTAATGGTTCTTCTCTAGATTCCTTACACAGGCCTTCCTTGCACTAGAGCTCGACACAGCGCTGCAGCTGGGAGCTCACAAGAACAGACCAGAAGGGTAAAATCCCCTCCCTCCACCTGATGGCCACACTTCTCTTGGTGAAGCACAGGATGCAGCTGGCTTTCTGGACCACAAGTGCACTTTGCCAGGTCATGATGAGCTTCTCATACACGCACACCTCCAAGTCTTTCTCCTTAGGGCTAGTCTCCACCCATTCTCTGCCCAGCCTGGATTTGTGCTTGGAATTTCCCTGACCCAGGCACAGTACCTGACACTTGGCTCCACTGAACTTCATGAGGTTCACACAAGCCTGTGTCTCCAGCT